AATCAAATTTTTTAGCAGGCTATCATTTTGTTTAATTTAATTATCTTTTTTGTTATGGTAGTAAGTTGAATAACTACTTCTTGAATAAATAAGGTATATTTTCATTTCACTCTCGGCTATCAAATTTTACTACATCTGTTCCATTTTACAATGACCATTGAAACAGTTTATTTTTAATCTATCCAACTTAGGGTTCGTAATTTTTCACTTACAAAAATATAGCGTGTAGAAGTTAATTTCTGAAGCAATTGGATTGGTTTCAAATAATTAAGGAAGTTTTAATTTCCATTTGACTGTGAGAAAATTTCAATGCACAAAATCTTTTCGTTTTTTGCAATATTTAGATTTGTCTATTAAATGTTATCGTTTCTTTTTTGCTTGTTGTTAGTCATATTAAATGTTGGCAAGAAGACCAAGTTTGTTGCCATTTTTGAATACAAACTTACATGACGTAGTGCATCTTCGTTTAGCGATTTCGGTTTGTACTTTTAGCTTTTAGCTTTTAATCAAAATGCAAACTAGGTATTTATCCACAAAGTAGATGGTTTGAATGAAGAAATCAAATTAGAAACACAACGGGACATATTTCAACGTGTGCAAGATGATTTTCAAGATGATGGTCTTGATAAAATTCATGTGACGTACGTTTTGGAATGTTATTAATTTGTAATTTTACTGAAAATATATTGGAACTTATTCCATACCTTTATATTTTCACACCAAAGTTATGTCTGTCCTCAATAAGTATAATCACTTATAGCATAAGATTAAGTGGACGGCAAAAAATGTGGTCATTTGGGTCATGTGAAGTACAATTTTTTAATTATAAGTTTATCTTTAAATGATTCATATCATTTTGTTTCTGCTTTTTTTTATTTTCATTCCAAAGAGTATAAATCATCATTCGTTTCAGCTATCATTTAACCTCTATTTACGATCACTCAATATTTGAAGCTTTCAGTAAGGTTGTTCAAAAATTAATCAAACAGTTATCTACTCTAGAGCGATTGCTTGACATTTTCAATCAGGTGTTTTTCCATGAATTTTTTTTATTTTTCTGGTCTGCCTATAGTAGCTGTACTTCCTTGTTAGTAATGCATTGTCATTAAAATTTAGTGAATTATTTTTAGAGGTTAATATTCACTGCTTTATTTTTCAGAATTTCGCAGTATTTATTTTAGAAAGTTGATATTATCCCTTTATCTCCTCAAATTTTTTGTCCTGAAAGTCTTGATAAAATCCTATCAATGATAGGAGTGTTATCTCTAATGCTTCTTGTTTTCT